GGGGTTCCCTTGTATGTGAGCTGTTTTTCTTTCTTTTGCTGCTTTTAAATTCTCTCTTGTCTTTTGTTTTAAACAATTTTACTGTAATGTGTCTTTGAGAAGATCTTTTTAGGTTGAAACAAGCTTCATGAACATGGATGTCAAAATGTTTTTGCAAATTTGGGAAGTTATTTCTTTAAATAAGCTTTCTGCTCCTTTTTCCTTCTCTTGTACTTCTGGGACTCCAATAACCAGATTGTTTTTCTTATGGAATCCTATAATTTATATAGTCTTTCTTCATTCTTTTTCATTCTTTTTTCTTTTTGTTCCTATGTCTGGATAATTTCAGATGACCTGTCTTCAAGTTCACTAAATCTTTCTTCTGCTTGGTCAAGTCTGAGTTGAAGGTCTCTATTAAATTTTTCAGTTTAAACATATTTTTCAGCTATAGAACTACTGCTTTTTGTTTGCTTGTTTATGGTTTCTATTTCTTTGTTGAACTTTCTATTTTATTCTTGCATTTTTTTTCAAATTTTACTAGTTGTCCATCTGCATTTCTTCTAATTCACTGAATTCCTTTTGGAGGATTATTCTGAAAGATTCATAGACAGTAGATCTTCATTTCTTTAGGGTTAGTTATTGGGGCTTTATTACTTTCTTTTGGTGGTGCCATCTTTACCTGATTCTTAATGATCCATATATTCTTGTGTTTGTATCTGCTCATTTAAGGAAGCAGTATCTTTTCTAGCCTTTATAGGTTTGTTTCAGCAGAAGAAAGAACTTAACAGCTTAGCTTTGGGCTTTGGACAGGTAGCTGGTAGAGGCTTGGGAGAAGCAGTGCTTGCTCCCATGTCACTAGCTGGATGGAGCCAATGTCTGTGCTCTGAGGTTTGAGTGGGGGGTTTGCTGTCATTGTTCTGCAGTCAGATGTGTCTGATGGCTGGGCTCTGCATCTGAGCATAACCACTGGCTGGGATTTGTGTTCAGGCAGAGTTGCATTCTGGGCTTTGCAGTCACCTCTAGTTGGACAGGTTACTGGATGTGCTCCACTGTTTGACAGTGTCTTTTGCCATGCTTTCTGTTGGGCAGGGCTGCCAGCTATACCCCACAGTTGGGGTGCATGGGTGCTGGAGGCTGTGCTACATATTTGGGTAGGGTTGCTTTCTCAGCTCACTGGTTAGATGGAGTCATAGTTTGTGATTAGGTGGGATGGCTGGCTAGGGATACCTGGGTGAGTTTGCAGGCTATGCTCACAAATGAATGGGGCTGGAGGCTGGCCTCCACTGACAGGCGGTACTATAGGCTAGACTTCAAGGCTTCCCAGGGTCATCGTTTGGACTCCTTGGTCAGTGCTCATGCTCTGCAGTTGGATAAAGTTGTTAGCTTAGAGTTCTTCCTAAGTGTCACTATAGGTTGGGCTCCAGAGCTGGCCAGGTTCTGGAGCTGGGCAACCTGGTAAGGCAGTGCTGGAGGCTATGCTAAGAAATAGGGTGGTGCTGCTGGCTTGGCTCCCTGTCCAAATGGGGCCATAGAATAAACTCTGTGGCTCCTTGGGGTCCTGGCTAGGATTCCTGGTCAGGTGGGGTTGGAGGCTATGCTTAGCATTTGGGTGGGGCTACTGACTTGCTTTCCTGCCCAGGTGGTGGTAGGATGTGCTGCCCATGACTGCCTGGCATCTTGGGCCAGGCTTCCTTCTTCCAGGTTTGCAGTTGGGTGTGGCCAGTAATTTGCTTCCCTACATAGGTGGCCTGTAGGGTGTTCTACAGTTGAGTGTCACTGATGACTGGCTTCCTTGTCTAGGTGAGCCTCTAGAATGGACTCCTCTGCTTAGACAGCATTCCAGTTAGGGACCCAAACCAGGCAGAACTGCCAACCTAACTTCCTGGCTAGTTGGGTCCAGTGCCTCAGCTCTGCAAATGGCCAGAGTTGCAGGTTGGGATCTCCACTCAGGAATTAGTTGCCTCACAACTAGCAGAAACAGTCTGCCAAGATTACACACTTGTTGTTGTGAGCCCCTTCACCCTTCTCTATCTCTAGCTGAATCCTTAGTAATCCCCCTGCTGCAGTACTTAATTAGGACTTGCCAGAAGCATTTGGAATGATGGGAAGTTTGATATCCACCTTGTACACTCCTTTACCCATTGAAGAAATTGCAGGCCTGGGGGAGACCCTCAGTGCAGCACAGCCCTGACCTGGGAGAGGAGCAAAGTGAAACTGCCCCTCTTATCCTTCTACTATAGTTTTTCTTGTTTTTTTTGTGGTCCAAAGGTATGCTTTAGCCTCACTACCATGTCCTGGGATCTTCACACAGGTATCTTGTTTATGGATAGTTGCTAGTTGCTCTTTCCCTGAGGAGTACCAAAGTCAGGAACCACCTATTTTGCTGTCTTTCTAATGTCAGTCTCCTGATTCCAGTTTTATTAAACCATGTTTCATACATTTTTATGGATTTCCAGTTGTTTCAGGCATAATGGCATATCTGATCTCTGTTACTTCAACTTGGCCAGGAGATGTCCTATATATTTTTTCATAGTGAGTATAATTTAAAAAAAAATTCAGTTCCCAAATATTCAGATAAAGAGACTATTCTTGCAGATTGACTCATTTATGGGTGGGCTTTGGAAAAAATAGTGTACTTTTTTTTACATTGGCATCTCTATTTTCTTTATTTACAGTTTATCCACAGTTGGATTAGATTTTTGTATATAATAATATAATAAAATCACTAATTTGTTTATGTGTTATAAAAATTAGATTGCACTTAGTACTTAATGGAAATCTGCTGAAAAGATCTTATGCTATTTTTTTCATGCTTGTTTGTCTCTGATGTTATTCCATCAATGTGTGAAGAAATGAGGTAAAAAAGGAGAACCTGGACATATCTTTCTATTCTCTGAAATTTTATATCACTAAATTGTGTTCTAGAAAAGGACATTCTTGTCCTATGGCATGCTGCTACCAAAGTAGATTCCAAGAGGTAGTAGTTTTATTCTGTTTTTAAATTATTTCATAGGAACCAGCCATCTGTTTCAGAAAGAGATTAAGAGGCAAATTTTTAAACATTTGGAAATGTTTAAATTTATGAATGTTTACACATTTGTGCTCATAAATTGGGTAATTGTACACCTAACAATTCTATTTGTTTTATCATTATTCACCTTGTGTGTATACAAATGAAGGCTTTTTAATTCAAATTCTGTAGCCTGGGACACTTGTGATTGGAGAATGGTTATTTTTCATGTTCCTATTTAATGTTAATGCATACAATTTCATGCCAAATTATAGAATACCATATTTACTCTGGTATAGCTGTAACAAGAGCTACTTTACTAACCATGTAGTCTAAAGTGGCAATAATAGTGTGCTTTCATCTGTTATAATTTATAGTAATATAAAAATTTTTATAATGTAAAAAAATTTAGAAAAGGTATTAAAAAATCTCATTAGAGTCTTTACATCAAAGGACTAAGTTAACATCTGAATTGCAGTTCTGCTAAGTATAATTAAAAAATTAAGTTCCATTAAAATGATTTTGGTGGTAAGGATAGGTACTCCAGACATTTTGAGATTACAGCTCATCTCTAAGATGAGTGAACTCAGTATACAATAGTCCTGATAGTTTATTGCCAGGCACTGTGTTAAGTACTTTTATGGACATTTTTTCATTTAAGTATATTTTGGAAGAAAAATCATCCATTATTTAATTTCCACAGCAGTTTTGCAAAAGTACAAATACATATACATGTGAATATATATATGTATTAGTTTCCTGTTGCTGCAGTAACAGATACCACACACTTCATGGCTTAAAATGACGGAAATTTTAAGTTTGAGATCTTTTCAGCAGATTTCCATTAAGCACAAAATGTTATTGTCTTATAGTTTGGGAGAGCAGATGTCTGAAATGAGTTTCACTGGACCAAAGCCAACGTTTCAGCAGTGCTACATTGCCCAGGGAAGCTGGAGGGGAGAATCTGTTTCCTTGACTTTTGCAACTTCTGAAGAAGCATTCGTTATATGTGTTGCTCATGATCCCTTCCTACATCTTCAAAGCCAATAGTAATATCACCTTTTCCTGTTTTGTAATTAAACCTCCCTCTTATAAGAACATCCGTGATTACGTTATGGCCCACCTAGATAATCCAAGACTGTCTCCCCATTTCAAGATTGTTAAACTTAATCATATGTTTAGAGTTTCTTTTGCTATATGAGGTAGCACTTATAGTTCCAGAATTAAGATGTAGCTATCTTTTACAGCCAAAATGGAGTACCGAATACTGCCAAAAGTCACATAAAAGCAAAATATGTTGGAAACAAGTACAGTTTGGAAAGAAGTTGTAAGACAGGCTGCTAATATAAGCAAGAGATCCTGGAATTCCTCGCTGGGTTCCAACATTTTGTATCGTTGACTGATATTTTTAGTTTCTGATAGAAACAAACAATATTAATCTTCAGGGTTTTTTCTGATATACTTCATCCTCTACTCTTGTTTCTCCCTTCCCTGTAAAACCAGTGCTTAGTAATCTAAGATAATGAGTTCATGAACATACAACAGATTTACATAACCTAATATTTTGTGATTAATTTAGAAACAACTTTCTTAGATATTTGAGCATAGATGCATGTTCAGATATGTGCTTTCTTACTCCCTTAAGCCTTTTTGTTACCTTCCTCTTCACTTTCGTTATTCTCAACACTAATGAAGAACTGGCCACTTTGCCACTGATGGTGTTATTCTATGTAATATGATGAGAGTTTTTAGGAGACAGTTTTAAAGGTTCCTTAGTTTCCAGAAGATCATATAGATCTCTTAACTAGATTATTTTTTTCTGTTTTTGTTCATTATCATTCCAGTGTTTACAATTTATCTTATACCTTTGGAGAAAAAATTTAATTTGGTACTTCTAATATATGGTTTAGTGACTTCTAGAATTACCAATAAATCTGTTTTGGCAAAGTGAGCATGTATTTGGTGCATAATTTATAAGCTAAATGTTTACATTTTCTTCACTGAACTACAGGATACCAGAAGGCCCCATTGACCAGGGGCCGGCTTCAGGAAGGGTTCGTGCTTTAGAAGAGCAGCTTGTGAAGGCCAAAGAACAGATTGAGAATTATAAGAAACAGACTAGAAATGGTAGGTGACTATACAGTGTTTTTCCTCTTAAGTGTAATTGATATTAGCATAAATAAATAATAGAAAATTTTCTTTCATCAAAATATTGGAAATATTGATATTCTGTATTCTTTGCCCATAGGTCTTGGGAAGGATCATGAAATCCTACGGAGGAGGATTGAAAATGGAGCCAAAGAGCTCTGGTATTTTCTACAAAGTGAATTGAAGAAATTAAAGAATTTAGAAGGACTTGAACTCCAAAGACATGCAGATGAATTTCTGACAGATTTAGGACATCATGAAAGGTACCACTCTTCCTTTACATTTCATTTGGGCTTTAGTAAAGATTATAATATAAAAATGGGAAACTGGAACTTTTGTTAATTTCCCTGCTGAATGGTAAATGATACCTACCATATCCGAGAACAGGAGAGTACCTGAGGCCTCAAAGGACAATAACTACCAAATGTAGTCTATCAATTAAAATATATCACCAGAAAAATACTATGTAAAATGTGTTTCTAGAAATCTTTATGCCCTAAGTAAACTCTAAAGTTAGTGGAGTTAGCCTACACTACATTAAAATACCTTCCTGCAAATTTCATTTATATATAATCAATATTTTAAGTGGAGTATGCAGTTTTACATTATAGTACATTGGAATGCATAGTGAGGCTGGCAGATATGTTTCTTATTCAAACATTTTAGAACTTACAAATAGCACCTTCTTAGGATTTCTAATTAAAGTTTAATAGATTTTTAATAAAAGGGAGCTTTCTGTAAATAGTTCTTTCAGTTAGTTGCTAGAAAGAACCTAAAATCTGCCTAGTTAGATTTGTTTCTCCTGTCCACACATTTCTGAAAATAATGTAGTTTATCTTTCATGGAAAAGAAAACATTTTGGTGCTGGTATATTCTTGCAGAACAAAATATATCTGAGAATCATTATAAATACAGGGAAAGCTGTCCTTAGTCTATTATATCTACAAGTCTCTGTTCCCAGTAGGATTATGATGGCAATTACTGTCTTATTAGTAAGCATTAAAAGAAAAATTGTTGTATTAATATGACTTACCACTGTGAAAAGGAAAAGGATTACCCCACAACCAAGAGATTCACATATATTAGCATCATCAAAAATAGGGTGGCAGTTTTGAAATATTGCTCTGCTATTTTAAGTGAAATTACAAATAAAATTTGTCAATTTGTTGTGATCATTTTAGTATTAATGAATCTATAGAAATAAGAGAGCATAAATTTAAGGAGTATTGAATTATAAGGCCACGCATTTGGCATTGAATTTGAAAGGTTTAGCCTAGTGTAATCAAGCCATACTTGGACCATTAGGCCAAATTCTGACCAATTTTATTCTTATTGCTTCTCTTCCCTAAAACTGATTCTAGGCGCTAGGATTTTGTTAATTGGGTCTGTGTTCCTTGTGCTTCACTTACCGAAGTTTTATAGGAAAATGCAGATCTGAAGATGGTTTCAGTTGCATAGACTATGTGATATTTAAAGAATTTTGGCTACTGACTTCTAATGGAATGTTTAAAGTTTGAGTGACTTAATTACTTGAGAATTTAATGTTCAGGTCTTTTCTAAATCAAAATAATTATTTAAAGAATTATTTTGTACATATAATTTGTGCTTATAATTTGTGGCTATATGGAAAAATGGAAAAATATGTACAAGTGGATGAAATTGGGCCCTGAAAGATTTTTGCAGATTGAATTCCATTTTAAATGTATTACAGTTCTTGACAGTACCTTTTGTTAAATAATAATATTTCACTAGAAACAAAAATGTAAAATTACCTGAGGAACCCACATCAATTTCTTTGCTGTCTTAAGCAGAAATTGTAATGAACTTGGAATACAACTTAATTTTAACAACTTAAAGTAATTTAACTTAAGGCAGCCATATCAGAATGCAGTGATAAAAATAATGAGCAAAGCACATTAGAGAAATAATAATTTATAGTAATGAATGTGCAAATAGGATTTGTATGTATATAGAATATGCCATCTTAACTGATAATTTTCAAGACCCTTAAGTGTAAGAATTAAAATTAAAACAGACTTTTATATTTGCCTCTGGTGATTTTTACATTACATAGAAGTCCCTATTTCATTTTTAAACTTGCCCAAATGCAGTGTATATGTTGTCTCTGGGCTGACATAGCTTGTGTTCTCTGAGAAGTCAGAGGTTGAGTCCATCAATTTTCTTGTTCAGATTTTTCTATGAATTGCTCTTACCATTTTTTTGTTTCAGAAAGACATTAATTATAGTTGACCCCTGAACAACATGGTTTTGAAATGCATGGGTCCACTTATACATAGATTTGTGGCAATTTGAAGAAGTATTTTTTCTCCAACTTATTTTAAGAATATAGTACATAATACATGTAACATAGAAAATATGTTAGTTAACTCTATATGTTAACAGTAAGACTTCCAGCTGTTAATAGTTAAGTTTTGGGGGAGTCAAAAATTATACTTGGATTTTCAACTGTGCAGTGGTTGGGGATGGGAGTTTGGCAGCCCTAATCCCTGCATTGTTCCAGGGTACGCTGTGTAGGGAGAAAACTTACAGGCTTTTGTTTCTTCAGGAGGGATTTCTTTCTTTCTTAGAACTTTGTTCTGATAGAAACCCTCTTTCTTCTTTCTAAATTAGCTTTATTATGGCATAACTTATATACAGTAAGATGTATGTATCTTAGTTTATAGTTATGTGAGTTTTGAAAAGTGCCCAGAGTTTAGTTTTGTAAAACCATCACCACAATTAAGATATAGGACATTGCTACTTTCCTAGGAAATTCCTCATGCCCCTTTGTAGTCAGCACCTCCCAAATCCCCACTCCCTGGCAGTCACTAGATCTGTTTCCTGTCCCTACAATTTTGCCTATTCCAGAAATTTATGTAAATGAAGTCATACACTATATGGTTTTTTGAGTGTGGTTTCTTTCACTTGGCATAATACATTTGAGATTTACCCCTGTTGTTTTGTATATTGGTACTTCATTCCTTTTTCCTTGGTGATCATGAGTAAACCATTATAAACATTAATGTATGTGTTTTTATGGAAGTACGTTTTCATTTCTTATGGATTAATATCTAGAAGTGGGATTGATGGGTCATATGTTGAGTATGTGTTTAATTTGATTAGACACTGCCAAGCTGTTTTCAAAGTGATAGTACTCTTTTGCATTCTCACCAGCAGTGTGTTAAGATTTCCAGTTGGGTCTGTATCCTTGTCTGTACTTGGTATTGTTAGCTTTCATTTTCCCCTCACCATCCTAATAGGAGTATAGTTGTATATCTTTGTGGTTTTAATTTTCATTTCCTTACTAATGATATTGAGCACCTTTTAATATGTTTATTTGCCATCCATATCTGATTTTTGGTAAAGTGCTGAAATTACATGCTTAATTTGGGTGGGGGGAAGTGTTTGTCTTATTACTGAGTTGTAAGCATTCTTCATTTATTCTAGATACAAGTTTTACTGGTGCATTTTAGAAAGCTGTTTCTGAGAGCCATGTGAAGGAAAGCCTTGTGTCAGGAAATTAGGATTTTAAGAAGTCCAAGTAAGTAATAATGAGCTTCTGGGTACTTGTACCAGGGATAGAGAGAAAGGGATAAGTGTGTGAAAAATAGAAGCTGCAGGATTTGGTGACTGATCTGATGTTGGGAGAAGGGGGAGTCAAAAGTAATTGAGAACTTGCATTTTGCTAGGAGGATAACTTTCTTGAGTGGAGATTATTGTTTCTTATGTAGTAATTTGACTTTTCTCCCTGACAAATTATAATCTCCTGAGGACTAGAACTCTTAACTTCAACATCTTCTCTTCTCCACAGTGCTAAGTACTCACTATTTAGTTAGCATTCAGTAAGTTATGTCTTTTTTTATTGGTTGGGTAACAGGTTTGTGCCTTCTTTGACTGATTATTTCACACTGTACTTTGTGCTTTTATGTAAGAATAAAATCTTGTTCCATTGAAAGATCTGTGAAAATTATGCAACTAAAGAAAATTATGTAATTGAGGTCAAAATATTCTCCAGCAACTGAGAATCCAAAAAGGTGTGTATAGCAACTTACAGGAGAAAAGTACTGAATAGAACTGGAAGCGCTAATTAATTTTAACAGTGGTTTGCAAAAGGAAGTGTATCAGTTAGAAGTCAAAGAGTGTATAGAGAAAATTGAGGGTTAATCTAAAGCATTAGCTTAGCAGGGTCATATGGATAGGAAGCATGGGACTAGAAGGAAACCTGACATTGAAGGATTTTTGTACTTAATGCCCTTGATGTCATGTTTGATTCACTTTGAAGGATTTAAGTGATCCCTGCATCTAAAAGTAGTCTTAAGACACAGTTATACATGAATCCCTAAAAACAGCATAGATTTTCTGTTTCGGAGTGCATTGATACTAAGCAATAGGGAATGGACTTTCTTTTAACTGACTGTGCCTGATAAAAAACAATGTTTCTTACAAAATGTATCTAATCATGTGTTTACATTTCATAGACTGTGTGCTCAGTGGTTTTTTAATGCATCTGTAAATTTGTTAAATTCTTTTTAGAAATCTTTGCCTGCTCACAAACTCATTAAAGTTGTAAGAGGCAGAGAACTGGTTTAGATTTCATGTCTTATTCCATGGTGCTACTATTCCTTGAAAGGAGAGAAGAAAGAGTAAAATGAATGTGGAGCATTGTTTTCTTTGGATGGCTGTGAGCTCTTGGGGTCAAACTATCTACTTGTTTTATAAATAAAACTGAAACTTGAGTTTAATATTGAAAGAAAAAAGAAATGTCTCCTAAATTGTTTATATATATTTTTCATACTCAGCTTTTATTGGCCTTATAGCTTAATGTGATAAGTTACACATCTTTCATTTTAATTCTTCAAAAAGTAAAACACTATATTGAAAGACCTAAATCTGAAATCTTTTTATATGTAGGGTAACAGGTTTGTGCCTTCTTTGACTGATTATTTCACACTGTACTTTGTGCTTTTATGTAAGAATAAAATCTTGTTCCATTGAAAGATCTGTGAAAATTATGCAACTAAAGAAAATTATGTAATTGAGGTCAAAATATTCTTCAGCAACTGAGAATCCAAAAAGGTGTGTATAGCAACTTACAGGAGAAAAGTACTGAATAGAACTGGAAGCGCTAATTAATTTTAACAGTGGTTTGCAAAAGGAAGTGTATCAGTTAGAAGTCAAAGAGTGTATAGAGAAAATTGAGGGTTAATCTAAAGCATTAGCTTAGCAGGGTCATATGGATAGGAAGCATGGGACTAGAAGGAAA